TTTATTTTATTTGTTCATTTTTTTGTGGTGCTAAGGATCAAACCCGGTGCCTCATGCATGCTAGACAAGTACTCTGCCACTGAGATACAGCCCCAGCCCTATTTTATATTTTATTTAGAGACRAGGTCTCACTGAGTTGCTTAGTGCCTCACTTGTGCTGAGGCTGGCTTTGAACTTGCAATCCTCCTGCCTTYTGGGCCTCCTGAGCCACTGGGATTATAGGCATGCACCACCGCACRCAGCTCCCCSAGCCCTTTTTGTTTTTCTGTTTTTTATTTTGAGACAAGRTCTTACTGAGTTGCTTAGGGCCTTGATAAATTGCTGAGGCTAGCTTTGAACTYACAATCCTCATGGYTCAGCCTCTTGATTACAGGAGATTAATCCCTCAGCTGRGATTACAGCCCAGCTATTATGTGTCTTTTTAATTATAGCTACTCTAGAAAATCTGAAATGTATCTCACTGTGGTTTATTATTTGCATTTCCCAAATAATCCCCACAAATTTTGTGGGGTTTATTGGCTATTGTGTATCTTCTTTAAGAACTGTCTATACAAATATCTTGTCAATTTTTTAATTGGACTGTCCTTTTATTATCGAGTTGTAATAGTCCTCTACATATTCTGGATTCTAGACTCTTATCAGATATATGTTTTGCAATTTCTTTTCCCATGCTCCTGATTATCTTTTTACTTTCTTAACAGTGTCCATTTGAAACTCAAAAGTTTTTAATTTTTCAATTTTATGGTTTTTTCTTTTGATGCTTAGTTTTCTATTACCATATCTAAAAAAAATTGGCTAATCTAAGATCACAAAAATTTATATCTGTTTTCTTCTAAGTATATTATAGCTTTCACTTTTTCATTATTTAGGTTGTTTGGTCCATTTTGAGTTAATTTTATATTTGACATGAGGTAGGAATCCAACTTCATTCTTTCATATGTAGATATTCAGTTGTATCAGAACCATATGTCAAAGAGAATATTCTTTCTCCTATTGAATTGTCTTGTAATATATAATTAATATATATATCTTAAATGTGCAATAGCTTAATTGTAGGATTAGCAACACAACTATACATGTTTGTCAAAACTTACAGAACTGTAAATTATGAGCAAATTTTATTGCATGTAAACAATTTCTCAACAAACCTGGCAACATTTAAAAATTCTACTTACAGCAATGCTCAAATGTAGTATAAGGGATCACCTATAAGAGACATATGCTTCACAGATATTGTGTTCTTGTTTGTRAAAGAGAGAAACTAGACACCATCTGAATGTCTATCACAAAGGAAGTAACTAAATAAAATGTAGAGTAGTCATAGGCTTGAATCMTATGCAAAAGAATATGTCAGATATATACATGCATATACGTCTCAAATGGATAAAGCTCAGAAACATTCCCCCCAAAAAAAGTTGTAAAATAATTTACACAGTATAAAATCATGTATGTAAAAACAATATAAAAAACTATATATTCAGCCTTTATGATTACATTATGAAAGGTACTTAAGTGCTAAAGGTCTAGAAGAATATTATACAAATTAAAATATTCTACTGCCTCTGGAGAGGTTGACAAGACACCAWAATTGAAAGAGATGGTCAGAGGAGTTGAGCTCCACCATTTTTCCTCCAAAGAAATATTTACTCATTTATTACTTATGTGATCAAGAAACTAATTATGTGACATTTAAGGAGTTGTAAGCAGAGGTCAGAAGTACAGAATAATAGCTTTTTAATATACATGCTCATTTGTGCACCCCTGCACCCAAAATACACACACAGATACACACACACACACACACACACACACACACAGAGGTGACCTTACCAATTTGGATTTTCCACACTTTCCCGGAAGACAGACTCCTCCTTCATGGATGCATACTGTGTCCACGTAAGGCAGTGACTCTGAATAGCCATGTTTCTTCCCTGAGGGTTGAGCCACGATTCCTCTTCTAACTGGATACTAGGGACCTTTAAAATGCTCACCTGCCAACAGAGGAAGGATGCCTTTCTCAATTTAACAAGTGCAGTTATGCAGGGAATTGAGAGCTGCTTTCAGTCTYGGGGAATAAAGAGGCCAAGATCCCCTGACATACAGATGACGGCCCACCAATGCTGAGCCCCTGGCAATCAAACACACTACGACCTTACCAAGAGCCGGCAAAGACGTGCAAATGGCCCAGGATTTATGTCAGCTGTACGGTGCCTGGCCCAATTTCCCTAACTGCTAAACACTAAGCAAATTATCAAGCCTCCTTCGTGTCTCCTCTAGGGCTGGTTATAGCCTTCTTAAATTGATGGATTCTAATCGGGCCCACTTACAGGCTCACATGCAGGGTGCTATCTGGTAAAATATTTTCTTCATTTTAAACTCCGTCCAATACCTAGAACTGTATGCTTTCCTAGGTGGAGAAGACATGGAAATCTACAAAGGCAGAATTGTACAAGTCAGAGGTATCCTTAAATTATTTAAGAATTGAGATACAAGACCAAGTTGAATGCCTTTCTAAATAATAGATTCAAAGTGAGTGTATAGGGCAAAGGCAGGGTATGCACTCGGTGGAAAAAGCCAGTAATAATTTGCTGCTGCAGTGTAACACATTTTACCATCTGGAAAATAAAAGAAAGTTCRTTTTCACTGACATATTAGCTTTCTTTCTACTAAGAATGTGACAGAGTCTTTTAATCCACGATAGGGGAGTGATGGAAGCTGCCATTTTCCCTACGTATTGGCGCAGCAATTTAATTTGCAAGCTAATCAGCAGGAGCCGAGTTGAGTTCTAAATCACACATAGAATCTCTTGCAGGTRGAAACAACCATCCGAGGCATTTTTAGACGTGTGTATCATAATGCTTTCCTCTTACTTCCTAATAATTGCAAAAAGACTCTTGTCACAAGTCTCTCTAGGGTTTAAGCCAAGTGATTAAAATTTTCCACTCACCTTTTTCCAACAAAGAATCACCAGAGTGCTTAAAGGATTTCAAAGAGAGAAGACAATTTGCTATCATGAAGATTTCACGATCAACAAGATTATTGCACAGAAATACACAAAAAKATTTACATAGGGCACTAGGAACATTATACTCTCAGAAATTACTCATCTCTGACAGTGAATTAGGAAACTGAAGCTTTTAACTTCTTTACTATCAGACTAAATATTTACAAACTTCCCCCTTCTAATCATGTTTACCTGAGTCATTTTTAGCCATATACAGACTGAAAACAATATCACTTCATGCAAAATGCCAAAAGTATCTTTAATACTCGTAGAACATCTCTATATCCATTAAGATTCCTTCACAGAAGAGATAGACAGAGACAGGGACGAAGAGTCTCCAGCAGCATCTGCCAAAAGCAGGGTGGATAAGACAAGGCTTTCCTCCTCCAAAGAGCAGCAATGAGGTGGGAGGAGTAGGACAGTCCAGGGCTCTGCCTCATATCTCTCTCCAAAACTGTTAAAAGCTACTCAGTGTTACACTTACTGTGACTAAATTTTGTAAAGAATTTACCTTTCTTAAAATTTCTGGAATCACATTCTGGCAGATTGCAATCCTCTTTCTATAGATGATTCCTGTTGATTCATCTAGAAAAGAAAATTTCACACTCAAAAAGAAATTAAGTTCAGAAAAGATATTCTTGACGTAAATCTTTTAAAGTCAACCTCAATTTTCTATATGTATAATTCCTAGAAAAAATGTTTAACTCAAAATTCAGTTTCCTTCACCTCTCTTCTTTGCCAAGTCACAAGTATTCCTTATCTATGATCAAGCACTGAGGGTGAAACTTAGAACAACTCACAATGCACATGCTAAAGTCAAGGATAAAGAATCACAAACTGTGTGCTACTCTGGATTATCAATGTCAATGCTCCGGTGACGACRGCCCGTGAGCCTCCTGCTCAATTCCAATAAAGAGAAGGTTTTACATTAAGATGGAGAATCTAAGCTGTTCATGGTAGTGCACACCTGTAATAAYAGCAACTTGGGAGGCTAAGGCAGAAGGATTGCCAGGTCAAAGACAGCCTCAGCAACTTAGTGAGAGCCTATCTCAAAAAGGGTTGGGGATATAACTCAGTGGTTAAGAGCCCCTGGGTTCAATCCCTGGTACCAAAAAAAAAAAAAAAAGATGTAGAATCTGGTTCTGTCAGCATCTATACCACACTTTGAAGCACAGATTTCTAACCAGAGTTTAAGCCTACAACTAATTATATAAGCCATACTCTTTGCTCAGAGAGGAATTGATGCCCTAGGAACAGAATGATTCTGTTATGTAGAAAGTTTCCAGAATAGTGCCAGGTATATAAAAAACACAATAAATGGGAGTTAAGGAAAAGGGAGACAGAGGCAAAGAAAATGACAAACTTTGAAGTGCTATTATTTGCTCTGAGAATTACTGGAACTCAACTACACTGCAGGTCACAATCCTGACCCTGGTTGCAAACATCCTGACTGCCCAGAATTATTGTAAAACCATCTGCCTGTTGGCACTCCCTTTGGCCATGTCATCYCCACTCTTAAAATGGATGAGCTACTCTCAGAGGCAAAGATGCCCTTGACAATGACAGACATTATAATTAATACTCCTAGAGCATTTTAGAATGTGCATGTTGGTTTCTCAATGTTGATCTTCACAACAACCTAAAAACCAGATTATTTTACTACTTGGGAGCTCAGATGAACAAACTGAGCCTGCCGAAAGTTAAGCTATGGAGGTAGTACAAATCAGGACTGGGAGTCAGGAGTGTCTGATGCCAGATAAAAACTTAATCCTACGTTGAATGCAGGTACATGAGAAAACAATTTTTAAATATATTTATCTAACTATAGAAGTACAGAAAATACCCTGACAAACAAAAGATAGCTTTACATCTATCAAGCACAGAGGGGGCCTCAGAGCAGCAGCATCTCATGATTTCTAAGAAGGCTGCAGGGCATGTTAGACAGCAGTCTCAGTGACTCCAAACATTTGTGCATTGAAGACGTATATTGTCATAGCTTCCCATGCTGCCCATTCCTCGAGTTCAAACGGCAGGGACAACGTTTCCACTGAGGATAAAGATGACAAAGAACAGGAGAGATGCCTAAGCTCTAGTGCAGGGGTCAGAAATTTTCTGAAAAGAGCCATAAATAATTTGGCATTAAGGTCTMTGCTGAAAATAACTCAGCTCTGCCATTACAGAAAGGAAGCAGTAATAGGTAAATAAATTAGTGTGAATATATTCCAATAGAACTCCCCAAAACAGGCATCATGAGCCATCATTGGTCTAACCAACACTGAAACACATTGTCAAGTACATTTATGAGTCCATAATCTAAGCCATTCTCTGGTCACATCTCATAATATGCTGTTAATCACACYTGTTTTTCTATCTACAAAATAATACACAATCATAGGATAAAGATATAGCCATTAGATTTAGGGTAAATTATTTAACCTCTCTATATATCAATGTCTTCATTCATTAAATAATYGAAGTAAGAGTGCCTAGCACATATTAAGTAACCCAAAATGTTACCTATTACAATGATGTAACTCACTGTTGTTTTGTTTTTGAACCAGTGATTGAACTCGAGGGCACTTAACCACTGAGCCACATCCCCAGCCCATTTTTTTTTTTTTTTTGTATTTTATTTAGGGATAGAATCTTGCTGAGTTGTTAGCTCCTCGCTCAGTTGCTGAGGCTGGCTTTGAACTTATGATCCTCTTGCCTCAGCCTTCCAAGCCACTGTTATTACAGGCATGTGCCACTGCAGCCAGCTTGCAGCTCAGTCTTACCATTGAAAAGTGACAAGAGAATTGCTTAAGAGAATTGCACACATACATCTTTGCAAAAGTTGATGTCACCTGACAATCATCACTTATGAGTGGGTACACTCAGAGGACTTACCTATTTTTTCCTCCACGATTTTTACAGAGATGACATTTTTATCCATGGGGTTTGGATACTAAATGAAAAAAAAACATAAAGAAGAATTACAATTCATCTTTAACCAAAGTGAATTAGGTCGTAGAAACCACAGCTATTTGCAGGATCCATAAATATTTGCCAAGCAACCTCTCRGTAAAGGCCAGTTTTGAATCAAGGATCTTAATTTCATTATTGGGCCTGGATAAGTGAGAAGCCTGGACTTGTATGAAATCCAGGGAAGATTTAATTCTAACATAGCCCTGGGTATGTGGGGGGGGTGAGGTTAGACTAATTAACAAATAATAATACTATCAATACTGAGCCAGACTAATGTAAATCAAGAGAGTTCTTCGTGCCAGGCACTGTCTAAATGCTTTAATTGCATGATCCCATGTAAATCCAACAGCTGTTCTCTTAGGAATGGGTTATAAGTCGTTATCCCCATTTTTCAGAAATGGATACTGAATAAAGATTGGATTGGTTAAAGTCACCCACCTGGCCTCTGCTGGAGTGAGCAGATTAAACCAGGCCTGTTTAATACGGAGAGAATTCCTTCACTACTGTCCTATAACCATTGCCTGGTAGCTGGATTAGCATCTCAGGATAATGATCATAGACATATACCATGCCAGGGAAATAGTAGGTGCTTTATAAATATTTAATTTGCTGATTGAATTCTCTTGAAAGACAATTTGGATGTAATAAGGTTGATAATAGCTACCATTTTTATCCTTGGCAATTTACATACCTTATCTCATTTAATTCTCCAAAACATTCCATGGAGTGTTATTTTTTTCCATTTCATATGTGAGAAATAAGGATTGGTTTGTAAATTAAATTATTTGCTCAAAAGAATTCATGAGTAATATATTGAGATAATGTAATTTACCCCAGATCCTCTCTGCCTGTCTCCAAAGCCAGTCCTCCTACCCTATCCTGAAATTACCTCGCCAGTTACTTTAACCCAACCTTTTCCATTACTCAGATGTGGAGAGAGAGAGGTGGAGGGATCAGAAGTGACTCCCTCAAAGTCATAAATCAGGTGGCCCTGAGCCCCTGGGCCCAGGCCTCCCCAGGTTTCCTGCCTCTCATGTGATCAAATTTGAAAAGGAAATTAGCAGAAAGTCTTATTCAGGGCAACAGAAAATGCTGAGCAAGAGGTAAAGCTAAGGGGTGAGAGCAGAGGGGCCATTCACTTGAAGAACTTGAGCTTTAAGTCCCCCGAATCCTGAAAAATGGAATAGGAAATTGTGCATGTGGGTCTTTCCCAGCAGCAACTGCAGGCAACGGTGTGGGTGTGTGTGTGTGTGTGTGTGTGTGTGTGTGTGTGTGTGTGTGTACCTGCACCTGTACACCTGTCTCTCTGTTTATAAGAGTCTGTCTGACCAGCTGATTTTCAGGAAGAAGGATTTGTCACTTTCACACATGCTTAAAGACATCTGTGGCCGCAGAGAGACCCTAGATTAGAACATTGGTTCTATGAGGCAGGGATGTCATCTGTTTCAGTTACTCCRTTTCTCCACTGACCAGCACACGTGGGAAGCTCCCAATAACTATTTGCTGAGTGAGTGAGTGACCTCGGGAACTAGTCTGGGAAGCAGGTAGCTTCTCACTCTTCAGCTGTCTCAACACCACCAGACCTTCCACATTGGCAATGTCACTCCCATCTCCATTCTGGCAATGGCAATCTTGGTTAACTGATGAAAAACATGGTTTGTTAGTTCRTTCGATTGTTCTGCAGTACTGGGAGTGGAATCCAAGGACTTCCATATGCTTTACCAATGAACTATATTCCCAGACCAAAAAACATGGTTTTTATAAACTGCTTTAAAAACATTCATTTTATCCCTGGAAAGGTAGTGCTCAAAATTAAAACAACCGGTTTTCTGAAGTTTAGCCCTTTACAGACACATGTCCAAAAGAGTTGGTTTAGATATTCTACTTCTCAGCACAAGAGACCTTCATTTACACGAGAACCTTGAAGCAGGGGAGAATCTGAGACTCCCAAGGCCTGAGAAGCATGTGTGCGTGTGTGAGAATTGTAACTTGCACACTAAAGGAACTAAGATTGTTTCCTGTACTACATTCTGGTTTGCTCACTGTATACCCACAAATAAATCCTCATTGAATATCATATTATAAATATGCTACATGTTGTTTACACTGAATAAAATYACAGAAGAAATTAGAAATGTAGTCACCATGGAAGTATAGTGATAAAAGTTTTCAAGTTCTGATACTTCACTGAGTTGTCAATAAAATTCCTAAAGACTGTAAACTCAAATACTTCATGATTTTACATAATCTTAACATCTGCTTACTAATACACAGGTGTTGATTTCAATAATAGTAGAAACTCTCTAGTTTTTCTCCATTCGAGTTTTTTTGAGAATACACCATGCCAGACACTGTTCCAGGCACTCAGGATATAGCATGTGGCTACAAAACTGTGGCCTCTTACAGGATTTATAGGTTAATTGGGAAAACAAATAATAAATAAATAGGTCAGTTCTGCTCAGAAGAAAATAAAGCAGACTGAAGGATAATAAGCAAATGAAACCCCATGGAACAGTGCATTGTAAAATGCTTAAGGATCATTCATTAGACAATGTTTGTAAATAACAAAAGTAAAATGGAAATCTTATTAACTGAACATAGCCACCATGAACTGTTCTCTGTAGGAAATAATCATTTGCAAGATGTAAGTCATTTTCCTACACAACTACTTTTGGCATTTTACAGGCATGAGCCTCAAATTTCTATACAAGATTGGTAAAAGAAATGAGGGGTTTATGTGCAATAGCTAAATACCATTACACCATGACATGAATGGCACATATTTTAACTTTTTTTTTTTAATTAAAGAAATATTGAACTGAGGCTCCTCCTACCTGGCATTACTAGAAAGGATCTAACGCCATCTTGTGGTAACTTGAATATTCATGTTTTAATTCATGAAAATTTATCTAAAGGCCAATAATAAGGATTTGAGAAAGGGAAGGTGCTCCAAGAGATCACCAGCAGGAAYACCAACCTGGAAAGGCAGTAAACAGGTGGCCAGGTTTTTCTGAAAACCTTTTCAAGCACAGTGTGATATGTAATTCATTGAGCCAGATCAGAATCTATTCAATCGAAGATTCACTGAGCATCTAACTTTGTCCATGCAGGGTGCTCTGCATTAGATAGAGGCTGCCATGTACATAATCTCATTTAGTCCCCTGCCCCCCAACACCAAAAAAAAAAAAACTTTTAATAAGTATTAAGACATGGAGTCTTTTTGTTACAAACCTAATGGTGTGAAGCCCCCAGACAAGCAGGATCTCACTGGGACTCTCCCTTTCCCATTCCACACTGCAGGCTCCTAAAAGCAAAGTGGTCTGTCTGATAACCTAGATTTCGGCCAAAAGCCCTTGTCTTCCTTGAACCTGGTTCAGCACATCACAATCTGCAGTGTGCATAAGAATTTCCCATAAAGCTACACACAATCATTAGGTATAAGATGTTTTATGGGTGATTTGAGGGATTTTTCAAGGTGCAGTTGACTTTATTTTTATTTTACTTATAATTTTTACTTTCTTTCCAAAACGAATAAGATAACTCCTTTCCCTTTCCCAAGATATAATTCTATTCAAAAATCACCATACATAGTATATGTAACAGTCTAGCAAAAGYAAAATGTAGATTTTCCTTGGTGGCCATACACTCCTGCTCTTATTTATTTATTACCTATTAAAAGGTCAGAGGCCAAACACTAAATGATGCAGCGGGAGGAGTATACATTAAAACCAACACAATTGGGAAAAATAAGAGGACAAAAAAAAATGAGTTCGTCTAATTATAGAAATATATTCCATACAACCGTGGATGAAGCTTTATGAAGAAATGGCATTTAATTTTCTTATTTGCTGAGGGTAAAATTCATAATTCAGAAAACCTACTCTCAAAAATAAGGAGTTATTAAAGTATCAACTTTCCAAAAAGCTCAGAAGTCAGTGCCTTCCTTTTGTAATATTGCCCCCCAACACACACACACACCAAAAGGGTCAATGACCTCAAAAGGAGTCATATGTACCAAATTTCAAATGGGAGAGTACRGTAGCAGGTGAGCTAACAGATCTCTGATTAGTCCTGCAAAGCAGGCCACGAGGACCTAAAATCAGTCTGCATATTAGCATATACACATTTGCTTTGTAAGCTTTAAGGGAATCTGCTACCCAGGCTGTTTCCAAACATGTATATGCAAAGGAATAAAACTGCTGAAAAGAGATTTGGTGTTTAGCCACAGAAAGAAACCACCATGGGCTGTGCCAAATCCCTTTTTGTGAGCTCCATGAAATACTCTATCTTGGAAGAAAAGCAAACCTGATTTTACATGAAGATCAAATGAGTCATTGATTAATCAAACCTCGGATGATCAAGGACTAAACATTTAAGTCAATAGATATTTTGAGTAGCTGTTCATTGGTCTTTCATGCCAACATAATGATGAAGCAGAAAGAACAAAGGACAAGGAGCCCAGACATGTAGACCATGATGCCACCTCTGGTGAAGTGAGGGTGGTAAACCCCAGGCGCTCCTTGAAGGTCCTGCCCCAAACTAACTGCAGTTCTCAATGAAGGCCACCCAACRTTGCAGCAGCCTCTCTTTCAAAAATGTCCCAAAAACCAGCAAATGGCATAGTGAAGTTTTTTGAAAGGATAGTTTATAATTGAAATATAGAGGAAAATTCTCTTATCTCAACTTTAAACAAATGCATAAACCAAAGGGGGCTTTACCATTGCATTATATCCCCAGATCTTATAATTTTTTTTTTTTTTTAATTTTGAGACAGGGTTTCACTAAATTGCCCAGACTGGGCTTAAACACAATCTTCCTTCCTCTGCCCCTCAGAAGCTGGGATTACAGTCAGAGGACACCATGCCCAGCTAACCCAAAGTTTTTAAACTTATAATCAAAAAGCTAGGTATGTGGTTCAGTGGTAGAACACCTGTGTAGCACGTGCAAGACCCTGGGTTCCATTCCCAGCAAAGCCAAAAA